GCTGGTAGCAATCTCAGAAAAGTTTATTCGCATTTCATAAAGAAACGAAAGCTGAGAGTTATACGCGCTCAACGGGGGGCATCCCATCGTGTATCGTATATTTGCGCAGGATGATAATTTCCGAGAGACGACAGAAATGGATTGGCGAAATATGCTTTGCTTAACGATCGAAAACTCTAGTCACCTAACCAAGTAATTAGCGTTTTATTCGTTTACTTCGAAGGCAATCACGCACTTCTGGCATCATTTATGCCAAGAAATTAGGCTGTGGCAATCAACACTAAAAACGCTAAAAAAAAAAATATAGAGAGCAATACGGTTGCTTTTGCAAAACAAATAACATTTTTGCAAATAAAAAAGTTAAGCGCAAATAAAGAATGTTTTCGATTTGTTTGCATTACAATATTATGACTTATAAGTATTTCGAAATATGTAAATGATTTTATAATTACGAGGGATATCCTACAAAAACTTTTATGAAGTTCCTAACATAATATTTGTTATTATTGGTCTTTCTTCCGAGTCGTGACAAGCTCGCGAGAATGACGGTGTTTAGTGTGTGGCGAATTACCGGCGCGACGGTTTCGTGTCGAGTTGATCGAAGAACGCTTTCGGCCCGCTTGAACCTTTTACGTAGGAGATTCAGGAGAAACGATTTCTCTCTTTCTCTCCCCCTCTCTCGCTCCCCCCCTCCTCGCGCGTCACGGCAGAAGTGACGAAAAAGGGCAGTAAACGTTTTACGCGAGGAAACTTTCGTAGAAGTAATGTATCCGCATACCGTTTAGAGAATAGTAAGTATTAAGTAGGAAGGTACCTCCTTGCACGCTACTCACGAAAAACGATACTTTAACGCGGTAAAAGGGAAAAGTCAGTGTATTTGATTTCAGCTGTTTCTTAAATATTCGCTATTTAGCACGAGGAGCTAGTTTTGCGTGTCCCTGCTTACTCGTGCATTACAGTAGAAACTGTAATCTTTCACGACGCTAATACTATACTAGTTACATGTCACTAAATTTAATTCACAGTTGCTAAATAAAATTGTTGAAACGTTGAAATACTAAAATAATTATTTCTTTGTCATTTTAATTTAATTGCTACAAAAATCGATCTCTCAAGAAGGAATTTTGCGATTACATTAACGTTAATTTACGATAAAATGTATCAGCAAGATATTTCTATAGATGCGCTCGGCAAATCATCACCAGCGCCCATCGTATTAAATGTACTAAAAAAGATATCAAGTTTATATTTAAGATTCGCAATGACTGTTAATCGTATTGTAACTCGACAAGACCTTCTTCTCGGCAAAAGTCCCATTATATTCATTCTTCGCGTGTGTTTGACACTATAATGCAGGATGGCGACGGTAAATTTAAATAACAAATTAGATGGCGAATACTTCTTTGAAACCAATAGCTTCCGAGCGTAAAGATATTTAGTAAGCATGATTTTTATTAAGATCCATATATCGCCCAAGACAAACAATGCTTATAAAAGCGAGAGTTCCAGGCGAGGACGACGCAGCGTGAACGCGTGATCTACGCAGCGGCGGTCCGAAGAGCGCTGATTTGATGCCGTGTAATTCGATAGACGCGAATTCTGTCCGTTCGCGACGAGACAAGACGCATATCGTGTCTAAACGACTCGCTCCCTCAATCGTTGGTTCGCTTGCTCACACATTCATCCCCCCGCGACGCGCCGCGTATAATTGGGAAGGGGTATAAAAATCCGATCGCTCAGCCGTAATTTCGAGGATGCCTCGTGGTGGCGGTCGGCTTGTCATAAACCGGATTTACTGTCGGGGTTCGTAAAGTTTATGAGGATCGGCGAAACGGTATATGGCGCGTGCAAAGGGGAGACGGCGCTGTGCGCACAGGGGGGAGGGGGAGGAGACGGGAGGAAGTCGAGGGCTGTCGGAGGGAGGAAAGCGTAGGAGGAAGAAGGAAGGTCCTGGAAAGAGTCGAGTTCAAGGAACCGCGCGAATTGTATAAATATGTTATTGATATACGAGCCGGGGATAGCGTGAGGTAAACTACCCGGAAACTGGTATCCAGGTTCAAGGAACACGAGCCGGGCTTGAGCCGAGCTCGAGCCCGCTCGGGAAAATCAGGCGCGATCTGATTGCATTGCCATTTTCATAAATCAATATCATGTCTGGAAGATATGCGTTCGTGCATGATTGCTGTCAATTTATACCTTGTGATATGATTCAAACAAATATATGTTGCGACCCTCGGCCGAATATTTACGATTGAAGGAAATGTAAAATGTGAGCTTACACGTGGTCTCATGTAAAAGAATAAAATTTTGGCAACAAAACAAGCGTAATATATAAAATTATTTGTAGTTATAAATTTGCTACGCTTTTCACAATTTACAATTCTGATGACAAAACGATTATGTGAATGCTTGGATTCCATTTCTTTTAGTTTAGTTCACGATTTTCATATAATTTTTTTCGATATATAATATCCTATATAGAGAACTGCAGAATTGAACTAGTTTTTCGAGTTAGTGGAATAAAATTAGTTTCGTGCATTATTTTGATAAAATATAATTTGTAGTGAAGTGAACAATGCATATAATTAAAAAATAGAAACATTATAAGGCTACTGTATTTTTTATTATCTTATGAAATACCAATCGACGGAGGACGTTTGTCGCTCATGTCTCGCCGTTTCGCGACTCGGGGGCGGCACGCTTGTCGGAGGCCCGTTCGGGAATTAGCTCCGGGCGTACAAGGGCTACGTAACGTAATTAACGAGCCGACAATTAATAACCTGCCGTTATAGATGCTGGCAGGATCGTTCGATCGTAGCGCGCACGTCGGCTCTCGCATGAAATCGCGCGTACGGTTCATATGTGGAACTATAACACGCTACGCGTCGTTCTCTCCCCGTTTCTCGCCCTATCCTTCTTCACGTTGTTTTCCCCCTTTCTTTCTCGCTCACGCCGTTTGTCCCCTTCTCCCTTTCTCTCTTGCAGTCGTATACACGCTCCCTTTCCCTCATATGCGCACCTAAAACGCAGGAAAGGGAACGTAATAGCCTTGCATGATACACCGCCATTAATCCGTGTATATACCCTTCCATACTTTGGAGGAATAGACACCTCGTACGCCTCGGTTTCATAGCCGGTTCATCAGCCGGATATCTCCCCGCTCTCTCTTTCTCTTCTCCCGCCTCCTCTCGTCTTCTCGCTCCTTCCTGTCTCTTCTTCTCACTCCCGATGATTTAATTTCGGTGTGCACATTTCGCTATAACGCGACTTACGACTTGCATGCCATAAAAATCAATCGATTTTATCAACTCAAAAAGAATGTACAAATAATTTTAGAAAAAAATTAATTCAAATGCGTTGTTTTTAATTTTTTGTACAAAATATAAATATCGCGATATTTTAATAAAAATTATTTCTTTTAAAAAATGTTAGATAATATACGCATATAGAAATATATTTTAAAAGTAGAAATAAAGTTGCAAAATAAAAAAATGATATTACTAATTGTTAGAGTCCGACCGAAATTTCGGTTTCGGTTTCGGTTACGGCCAGTTTCGGCCAAAAATCAAGGTTTCGGCCGAAACTAAAAAAAGTGG